ATGCTAACTCCCTATGCTGAAATAACCATTATATTCTGCGAATCTGCACTACTACTAATAGCAATTTGAAGATTAATATGTGCGAATCCCTAAACATTGTGATTATGAGGAAACGTCTCAGAGTAGTTCAGTAGTTAAAAGGAAGCCCATGTTTAGGAGCAAATCAAAATTATGAAAACTTTAAAGACAGTAAGAGCACTGGATGAATATACCATCCAGTCTGGCAAGATGAGTGAAAGAGCAGACAGAGGTGAGCAGACGCCAAACGAAGGGAAACTACTGTGGTCTGCAGAGGGCGAGGGGCACTCCCTGGAAGAGGTGTCTCCCAGGACGGGCGGCCCGTGAGCAGCTCCCAGCGATGCAGAGGTCTCCCTGCGGAGTAGAGGCTGAAGGGACCAGGGAAAGCCAGGACCCTCACTCAGCCAAGGGGACGCACACGGGAAAATGGAGATAAAACCAGACGGAACTCTGGTGTTGTGATCAGTCACATCGGTATGCACTCTTGGTTTTTAATATAGATAGATACAGAACATCTTATCAGAATGTATCCAGGAGTGAAAGCATGGTGGGATATTGGTGGATCTTACTACACTGAATTAAAATAGAATGTCACAGAGTTCTCTGTCTTTAAATTTAATTATTGTAATGAAATATGTTATTTAAAAGAATTTTTGAGAAGTCAGAATATTAGAAATAGAATAATTCAACGAAACAGCATAAAAACGTAGAGCAAAACCACCCTGGTGGAGAAACTCTGGACACACTCTCGGCCGGAAGTCTGCAAACGCGGCTGCCGACGTGGTGCATTGCGATTGCTGGGCACAAACCGCCATGGTCTGCAAACCCTGGGCGCGTAGTGCACAAAGACGCCGCGCAGCCAGCGTCCCCGGCCCCAGCCCTGAGCAGCTAGCGAACGTCGCCGAGCCTAAGGCGTCCTTGGTAACCAACGGCAGCACCACCGTGAAATATTTAGCAAGCCGCTGAGCGCGGCCGCACACACCTGCAATCCCAACCCGGGGAAACTGAGGCGGGAGAATCAAGCTGGAGTCCAACTGGGCAATTTAGCGGCCAAGCGAGGTCCTGTCTCGAAAAAATCCAAAAAGGCTGGGATGTGACTCAGCGTGAAGGTTCTAGGGTCAACCCCAGTATCACAACTGCACAGGAAGCGAGCTAACATGGGCACACGGAAATCTTGCTGACAAAGGCGACGGTTCTGTCAGGGCCCAAAACGCAGCTGAGGAAATGGCGATACGCTACGGTCATCATATGAGAAGGACATCCATTTCACGAAGTGGAAGTACACACTTACTTCAGCTCCATGCGACCCTTTGAGTAACTTTCTAATTCTAAACTTTACACCAAAGTAAAAAGGCTTGATCACAAATAACTAAGTCAGTTTTGAACAACAGAGCGAAGCTGGGGCGTGTTCGCTCCCGGGGAGACAGGGACATGCTGGGGTCACACGAGGAAGCCAGGTGAGGCTGTGCACGGACAGGAGCAGGACAGGAGCTCGGACCGCGGCCACACGGAGCAGCCCGCGCAGGTCCCACTCACGTCTCGGCGCACGAGGGGAGCCGCAGAGCAGCCAGACGCGGAGGAGCAGCCCTGAGAGCTAAGAAGGAAAGTGTGAGCTTCGTGATTCCGGAAAGAGACAGAACTTCTTAAATTTAAATAACATCACCCATCACACAAAACCTAGATTTGACTCTGTCAAAGTCAAACATCTGTATTCAGCAACACTGTAGACACATTTAACAAAGAATTAAGGGCCGGGGATTTAGCTCAGTGGTTCCGCCGCCTTTCTAGCAAGCGCAAGGACCCGAGTTCGTCCCCCGAGTTTGCCGCCCCCCGCCAAAAATAACTGAAAGGAGGAAAAAGTTTTAGCACATCAAAAAGAGCGGGAACTCAACCAGAGGCAGACAATGTAAATTTGAATAGATATAAATAATAGGACACAAGATCATGCTACCAGATTAAACAATGAACAAATAGCAGCTAGTGTTGGAAAGGACATGCAGAAATGGGAAACTTGGTGGTGGGCATCTAGAGTCACAACCCTGGAGGATACAAAATCAGTGGAGTTAAAAATGTCATCATCCTAACTCGGTGCGAATCCAGAAACCTCCTCAAGAGGTCCATGCGGAGATGCGAGGGAAGGTGTCTCCACACCACTGCTCAGCCGGTCGAGGACGTGAAGGCGACAACCTCAAGAGGACAGAAAGGTCAAATGGATCTTTGGCAGCCTTTAGAAGCCTTTAAAAACGTAGTAAGTGAGAAGAAAAGTTTAAAACACCCTTTATGTCAATTCAGAGTCACAAAACCATATACATAGCTACATAGTCAGATCGCATATCAACCAGTACAGTGGGTGCCTCACAAAAGAAGCAAAATGGAGATTAGCAATGAAGGGGAAATATTTGAAAGTACCCACGAGAAGCGTGTGGCACAGTGGTTAGGACATAGGTTCCTAAGGTAGGTCTGAATCCCAGCTTTGCTTTTTTTTTTTTTTACTGGGGATGGAACTCGGGTCCTTGTACTTGTGAGGCAGGCAGTGGAGCCACTGAGCTAAATCCCCGGCCCCAGCTTTGCGTTTTATTGGGTCTGTCTCAGGCAAGTAACCACTTCTCCTGTTGAATGTTCCCGCTCGGAACAGGGTCTGGTGGCTGAGCTACCAAACTGGCCCAAACCGTTCTGTCCTGTCTGAGTGCAGCGTCCCCAGAAGAGCAGAGCCTATGCCTGCTTTGACCCATAGGGTGCAGAGAAAGTGCTGCTCTGGGACTTGCCAGCCCAGGATGCAAGAACTGTACAGAAGTCTTCCTTCCTGGGTCCCTGAGCGTCAGTGGAGAGAGAGAAGCATTTTTAAAGCTGACATGCTATTCAGAGAGACAGGCCACATGGAGGAGTACCTGTGTCATAACAATGACCGCACCCGATCAGCAGAAAAGGGGCTGCCACAGAGCCCCCAGCAGGGCCTGGGCCGACCCATGGAATGTGAGATTTCATTAAGTGGTTGTTTCAGATCACTGAGTTTTGTGTTTATGGCCGTAGATTTAAAAGTTGTTATGAGGATTAAAAGAGGAAAATTTTCAAGTGCTACAGGCTGATGGCTTGTGCGAAGTGCCTGCCACTTTATAATTATTCGTGGAATAAAAAAGGACAGGAACCTGGCCAGACCGATGGTGCTAAGGGTCTGTGGCAGGGCACTTCTGGCAGCTGAGCTGGGAGGTCCTGGCAGCGGGCACACTCCAGAGGGCAGGCGGTACCCTCACTACTGCCTCCATACCATGCCCTGTGTTTCTTCAGTGTGTGTTCATCAGTCTCCTTTGTAATATCTTTTATAATAAGCCAGTGAAAAATTGCTCTTCGATTATAGAGAATACACTGATGAATACCCCTATAGCAATGCCCTGAAAAAAATCCAAGGTGGGAAGGGGGTTCCAGCACTGGGAACATCATCTTTGGTGGGTAAGATAAAGCAGATAAAATAAAAATGTATGCCTCCCAACCCCTCTCCCTGCAAAGGGGTGGGGGGGGGTGGTTGTGTTGGGACCGAAATATATGATTAGCCTTTAGCCTAATTCTTTGCCCCCAGATATTTACAATTGTGGTTAGTGAAATCTCTGCTGGGGTCTCTCCATTTCCTTGGTGGGGAAACCCTGACCCCGAGAGGTGAAAAGAGTGAGTGTTTCAGAACAGAGCCGGCTCTGTGTGGAGACTCTGCTGTAGTTGTGCGCAGAACCAGAGCCTCCAGGAAAGCCCTAGATGAACGGTTTTAGTGGCTCACGAGTCCCTCATTTCTGGGAACACAGACAGTTGAGGAGCTATATCTGTTTTTCTCTGTAGCATTTGACTCAGAACTAGCACATTTTTTTTTTTTTGGTACCGGAGATCAAACTCAGGTCCTTGTGCTTGTCAGGCAGAACCACTGAGCTAAAGCCCCGGCAAGAACTAGCACATTTTAATTAGCCATACACTCCAGTATCAGGAAATGCAAGGAAAAACAAAAATTACATAGAATGCAAAGATTTCAAACGAGTCAATAATTTTAGCCGGGGATTTAGCTCAGTGGTTCTGGTGCCTGCCTCACAAACACAAGGACCCGAGTTTGATCCCTGGTATAAAAAATAATGATAATAATAATAATAATAATTTCAACCTTCAGAAAGTCTTTTACAGTTCTTTTTGTTCCCACACACAATGCTCAATAAATATCTATTGATTTTAAATTAGCCTCTCTTCTTTTTGAAAAAAAGCTTCAAAACAATTTGTTTGTGGTCTTTCAAATTGATTATCAAAAGTATTTGTTGAATGAACTGCAGGGAGCTCAGCCTTGCAGATCTTCTAAGGGCAGCTAAGGCAGATGGTGTCTCCAGTTTGCAGAGGCTGAAGCCAGGGCCTAGGCGGGTGGGTCACTTTTCCACAACTAGTGGGTGGGATAGTGCAGTCAGGGTCTGAACTTGGGTAGTCTGACTCCATAGCTGGTTCTCTTTCACTCCTACTGCATTGGGAAGCAGCCAGAAACAGGTCAGAATGACCGAAAAGCAAAGGCAAAATGCCACAGAGCCAACTTGTAGACACTGGGACTGTGGGTGGCAGCCCTTGTGTTTCCACAGGACTGACACGCTCTGAGAGTCAGCAGCTGCCCAGCCATCACTGCCTGGAGTGCCATTTTCTCAGGGTTCCAGCCTCAGGAGCACCGGGCCTCACAAGGGTGCTGGCCAGCAGCAGAGCCTGTGTGTGTGGCCGAGGAGGATGGTGTCCAGCCAGGTCCACTGTGACCCCTTGCTGTTTTTCTAAAGGTATCTCCGACCCTGTCCCCATCACCAGCCCGAACCCCACCCCACTCCAGGCTTCTGAATCGAAGCTCTGCCTTCCCCTCTAGCACCTGGGACGACAAGCCCTGCGGGTGACCTTCAAGCAGCTTCTCAGAGCTTGAATGAAGTCGGGAGGAAGCAGTTGCTGACCTCATTTCCTTGCTCTTCTCCTCAGGTTCTCTCCATCTTGGATACTCCAAGTGTGGGCAGCCCTGTAATCTGTTGGCAGAATTCAACTCCGAGGGCCGGAGGTGTGGTGCGGGCTCAGACTCAGAGCTGGCCGGAAGCCAGTGCCCGGAGGGAGACAGTGGCCCTGGAGGAAGCGGGGCCTGGGGCTGGCTGCTCTCTGAAGTACTCAGTTGGCTGAACTGCAGTTTCACTTCCATTTTCTCCTGTCTTTTCCAGGCCCCAGATGAGTTACTTTCACTGAAAACGAAATGACTGTGGCCAGAGCCCAGCTGAAAGTGACAATCTGTGGCAAAGCCCCAGTACTCGGGGCAGGAGGGGACCGGGATGACAAAAGACAAACTGAAGTAACTTCCAAATCGTGCCATTTATTTTTCCTTAATTGGATTTTGCAGCTCATCGGAGAGTCTGCCCAGTTCTCTGCGGAGCTGTAGCATTTGTGTGGACCCTCTGTGTCCTCAGTCCTTCTACCGGATGAGGGCATTCAGAGATGCATGCACATGCTGGGCGGGCAAGACTTGTTTTAGTTCATTCCCATCTCTGGTTTCACCATGATACACATCTGTCTCGATGGGACATCCCCAGGAAAAATGGTTAGCATGGCAGGAGGGTGAGAAGTCGGGGGAAGAAATCCAGGGAGCTGCTAGGATCCTTTACCTGCTCCCACCCCGTGTCCTTCATCTGCTTCACTCTTGACCTTTGAAAGACAAAGAGGCAAAGGAAGAATCCAGCTTAGCGAGGCGGCTGGTAATTCACATGGTAGCCCCACGGCAATTATCAAAGGACGCCCTTCCTCAGAGGACCTAGCACTTTCCATGTCAGCGGCGGGGAAGAGAGGAGCAGTGTCGGGCTGCAGGCCCACCTGTCCCTGCCTTTTGGCGAGGTGTCCTGATGCCTGTGCCGGGGTTCCCCGGATTCTGCTACCTCGAAGGACCTTGGGGCACAATCATCGAGGGGATGGAGCGTCATCCAGACGGCCCAGCTGCTGACACAGGTCTCGGCCTCTCACAAGGTCCAGCTCACGGCCTGTGAGGGGATTCTTGGCTGCCAGGGCTGTGCTGTGTGCTATCCCTGTGCTGCTCGGACTCTGCGTCCCCCGGCAGGGTGAGGAGGCACATCTGGGGTAAAGAGACACATCACAGGCACAGTATGAATGGGCCACCCTTCCTGGCCTGGAAGGCCTGGGAGCTGCCCAGGACCGACAGGCAGCGGCAGCGTCACCTCCGCAGGTGGCTTCAAACAGGAACCAGTCCGAGAATCCAGATTCCACAATTCAGGGAAGAGGCAGGGGAGAGGAGTGCAGTCCTCTTGCGGAGTTTGTGCTACGTGGTTGCAAGGCGTCGCTGGTTCAGCTGACAGGGACCCCGGCTGGCTGGACGTATCATTCATCAAGTGTGTTACAGTGCTGCAGTGCACACGCTACCAAGTCGGACTCTTTACTGTGGAGATGTGTGACAGCCGCGTGCAGCCAGTGGCGTCCAGCATTTTAAAAAGGTCAGTTAAACGGCTGATGGTGATGCAGTAATGAGAGCCCAGAGGGGTGAGAAGGGCCGCGTAAACAGAAGGGCTGAGACATACATTACTGGAACTGAAGTGTCAGGTAAAGCGTGGTGGGGAGGAGATCTATTGTCACAAGCCATAAAGCACATCTGAGTCTTGCAGCGGTGAGCACGCATCTGTTTCCGTCCCCAGCCTCGCCTGTGAGTGGAGGTTCAGCCCCACAAAGGGACCACCTGCATCCGAGTCTGCGGGCGGACTCGCCCTCCTCACCCGTGCGCGCCTCCGCACTCTTAGAATGTGGGTCATGCTCCAGAAATCCGGGATTCAGCGTGCCCGGAAGCTGAGCCCGCCTCTCTCTAAGCGTGTGTGGGTGGAGACGGCGGGAGCCCAGCGCCCCCCCCCAGTGTCCTCTAGAGGCCACAAAGCGGTCTACGGGTGACCCCAATGCTGAGACGGACGTGAAGCGGGGAAGTGACGCACTTAGGACAAAATCTGTGTCGGCCCGCGACAGAACTGACTCATGTTGGGAAAGGGCACTGTGTGGGGCTTTTTTTTTTCTTAAATCAGACAAAGGGGTCTTAGAGGAAGTGCAGGGCTTCTAGGACAGTTCCCCCACCTACCTGTCAAACTAGAAATTCAATAGTGCAGCGAGAATGCTAATTGATATGCAAAACAGGTCCAGGGTTCCTAGAAATGTCTAATGATCCTCCCGTTCATTAGGGTTGCGGAGTTAACACACACACTAAATGAGACGGGAGTGGGGACGCCAACCTTTTGCTTTTCCTTTTTAAAACCTACTTTGGGAAGCTCACAGGTTTTAGGATTGAAAAAGAAAGAGTACTGCAATCAGCACGGCTTGTCTTTCACACACTGGATATTTATTATTAGAAAATAGCTTCTATCAGCTGTCAGTACCAAACCAGTCGAAAGGAGCGTGCTTCTCACCATCATTTTCCCTTAATGATATTTAAATAAACAGCTCACCGTGTGGAGAGTTGCCACACCTTTTTTCCCTTTAAAAACTGAAGAATTACATGAGGTTTACCACAAAACATCCTTCAAATATGACTTAGTCTGTAGTCATTTGCTTCTCCTTGAACAAAGGACCTGAAAGAGACGGAAAGACAACTCAAGCTATCAAATCACCCCAAGGTATCCACATTAGAAACTGGGAAACAAACTGACCCAGATGAAGTCCATCCCAACCAAGAAACCAGTTTTTACATTGGCTTTTAGACTCTGATTATCATCTTTGAAACAGTAAAAACAAGAATTGCATTGAATTGAATCCTTAGCAGGACAGCCTTCCTCATATGTCGAAGAAGTGTTCAGAAAATCCCATGCAGTGTCTGCTAAATAAGCATGTTTGGCAGCTTAGCAAATGTATGACCGCAGCGTCCAGGATTTGAAGTAAATAGCACTGGCTTTCTTCTGGCGGAGTTCATTGCTCGGGTGGCGTGCTGGTGCAGCTCTGGATGTTCTCTGACCGCAAGATCAAGGTGGGCTTGGGTGGCTCAGTACGTGGTCCCAGTGCAGGAACTTCCAGATCCCAAACAACAAATCCACCAGTCAACCCCTGGAACATTAAACAATTGTCTCCTTCGAGTTCCTTTTGGCCGAGTGGAGGCCCAGCAGGGACTGCTGGTTAGAAGGTACATGGACAGACTTTGGAATGAGGAGAATCACCCGCTGATTGGTCCGACGCCATTCATTGTACAATCGACAGTGGTACCTAAATGACACCTAGGGGTTGGAGAGAAAGAAAAGAGAAGGTGTATAGACAGGCAGATGGAGGTGACTGATCCAAGCCGTAAACATCATTAAAACTAGCTTCAGAGGGCCAGCTGCAGTACAGCGGGACAAGAATCTGGGCAACACTGTTCTCGCCAGCAGCAAGTTCTGAGGTTGGCCCAGCCCGGGCACTGCACGTGTGAACACGGCAGGGCTTGCACATTGGCTTCCTCTACAGAGAGGGCAAAATCTGGGTGTGAATAGGAAAAGGAGTTCTTTCTTTCTGAGTTTAGATTTATCTTGTTTGGGCCCCAGAGCATCCGTTGTGAAGAAGGCAAACTGGGGGTGGCAGGAGAGAAGCCCTGGCCCGGCTGGTGACCCGGGCCACGCACTGGTTGCTCTCTTGGTTCTCTCTGTTAAATGAGAGGTATTCCAGGACTTCGCATATTCTCTTGCAGGTTACAGACTGCACAGCTCAAAGGACTCCTTTGTATTGTACTGTGGACAACTTGCAAAGCTGTATTGGGTGGCTCTGAGCTTGGGACCAAGATATCTGTACATCACGTTCTCCTTTCTGTCTGCCCTGCACTAGGAGCACCCTGAGAATAGGTGTGTGTTGTGCTTGACACTTCAGAAGTCGCTCAGGAGAGTTTGCTGAATGAAAAAATGAAGACCCTATGCTTTCTCATTGAACAACGCTTTCATCAAGTTGAGCTTACTTTGTGTAATTAAATATTGACAGTACAAGTAATGAATCCTGTGGTCAGCTGTGACATACCTATATTCTAAAAGTGCCTGTTTTTTTATCTAAATACATTGGAATGAGACACTTAGCCCGTTTGTTTTGGAGAAGGCTCAGGAGGACTGATGTGGCCTGCTCAGGAAATTCGTAGTCTGTACTTTAAAGACAGTGAGGCAGATTCCAGTTTGAGCGCATCCAGGTATCTAGGTAAGCGCTGGCAAGGAAGGGGCCCATGAACTCAGAGTGACCAATCGCCCCTGCCTGGGCTATCCGGTTGTCTTGGGGCTGGTAGGTTGTGTGGACCCCAGTAAGCGTCCACAGGGGCCAGGAAAATGGGCTGACAATGCTTTCAGCTCAGTGTTTCTGTAAGTAGAGTACAGACCTTGACCAGGAAGGGCTTGTTGACCCTCATGGCAGGATCATGAAATTCAAGGCCACACGCTCAAGTGTCTGAGGCAAAGAAGCACACGTCACATGCCAAGTTCCAGAGAAATGTGGGTATGAAGATAAAGCTTGGTAAACTAACACAGGTGTGCCTTCTCTAAAAGGCCCTGAACGCGCCAAAGTGGATCAGCTTGCCTGCATATGGAGCTTGCTCGCTTCTCCTTCTTTCTCTCCCTGCCCTCCCCTCCTGCCCTCCTCCCTCACTTGATTCTCTTGTATCTATTCTGCCCTACTGATGCTTGGTGCTGCTCAAGAATGTAAGTGAAGCAAGAGGGAAAGGCTGCTGCCCAAGTAGGCAAGAGGTGGAATGCAGATAAGTATATAGGAAAAACTTTGGCAATAAAAGAAGTCTGGAATCTGGAAATATTAGTGAAAAGTTGGATTTTAAATCAAGGGCCCCTTCCTCCATGACACCGAAGACCTGTGCACACTGGGCATCAGCAACCCGAGAAGTAGGTACAGGAGGCCACAGGCTCTGGGGCCAGGCACACCGGGCCAGGCACACAGAGCCGGAAGCCCTGTGCCTGACTTGGTGAGGTTATTTGTCATCAACCAGCTTTTGTTCCTATGTTTATAAAGTGCTCAAACTGATATCTGAGATGATGCAATGTGAAATACTTAGCAGGGAATCTTGCACACATGTTCATGTCTTGGCCTCTTATTTTTTATGTGTTAAATATGAAAATGTGAGAGATACAGGGAAATTAAAAAAAAGAGAAACCGAACTATTTCCTTTAAGGCTTTGCTGTCAGGGTGGCTGTGGAGCAGCAACAGGAGGCATCTCCTGGGAACTTGTTAGAATATCAACGTTGCGGGTCCCGCCCAGACCTGCGGAATCAGTGTGACTCCCATGTGCATTCAAGCTTGAGAAGTGCTGCTTCAGGGAGCACCAGGAGTCAGGGACTTAGCAGGTCTCTCTGTCCCTCGGCCAGGAAAGAAATTTTGTGTGTGTAGATAAAAAAGATGAGAACCTATGAATCTATCTGATTGCTGTTAACCACCACAGTCTGCAGGCAAATTGAATCAATAAGAAAGCACACTATGAACATGATTCCTTATCAGGGAAAATGAAAGAAGTTGGGCAGAGGGCGGAGGAGACCCCGGGGCTGCAGCTGCCCTGGATTAAAGCCCACCCTTGTCTCTCGGCCTCTAAGACACTGCCTCCCTCAGGAGAGTATCATAGAGAAAATCGTTTGATTTAGAGAAGTAAAGAGGCAGGGAGGAAAAAACAACATAAGCCTAAAAAATGCTGTTAATAGCCAGGGATTTAGCTCAGTGGCACCGCACTTGCCTTGCAAGCGCAAAGTCCTGAGTTTAATCCCCGATACTGGAAAAAAGAAAAGAAAGAAAAAAAATGCTGTAATAATAACGTTAAGAATTCAATTACATAGTTTTTAATTTTCGGAAGTTTTTAAGGACAGGAAGATGAAAGGGCATAGGACAAGTATTTTTAAAAAGTACTCCTTATGGGATGAATTTCTTACAGTTAATCCACTTGTTCACATAGAAGACACTAAGCTATCAGGAACAAGGTCCATTTGCGGGAAGCTGCCATCACCCAGCTCCTAGAGGAAGCAGTCACAAAGGTCAGCACCCGCCTCTCCCCAACAGGGAGGTTTGGGGAGAGGGTGTGCGTGAAGTCAGTACCGGCTTTGGGAGATCTAATCAGACGTCTGTTTCCCCTTTGCTCGGGACACCACGGCCTGACTGAAGCACACGGAGGGGCCAGGGCTTGGTAAATCGCCGTCCCTGCAACGTCTGGTTCTAGGTCGCTTCCCCGACTGCCCCGGAGAGGACTGTCTCGGAGGACTGCCCGGGGCTGCTGGGGACTGCGTCTGAACCACCTGCCAGTGAGCCTTGCTGGGACCTTCTCCCGGTCACATCCCTCGCAGCTGTGGGGCCTGGAGTCCAGCTCTGAGCGGGGCCACTGGCTAGAACGTGACACGCAGTGGAACTTCCTGCACGGTGGTGCTTCCACGACAGCCTGGGTGGGCGCTGAGACCAAGTCCTGTCAGAGTCGCATGCTAACACGGACTCCGCTCCCAGCCAGCTATCCTTGCGGCTGTCCACGGCCTTCAAATCTTTCTTGACACAAATAGCGATGTTTCTGGGGGACCATTCCCCTGGGGTGCAGATGGATGAGGGGCTGCCTCTGGTGAGCCTCGGGAACACAGCAGGGTACAGAGGGCAGGCCTCCCTCGGGCTGCACGTAGGCTGGCCCTGGAGGCCCGGTGAGCCCGGGAGGTCGCCCAGAGACACTTGGAAACACGCAGCGCCAGGGCTGGGTGGCGAGGTCCTTCCAGGAACACTCCTCCGAGGAGCCAGGCTTGGACGGACACTGTGTTTGTTTATCTAAGACATTTTCACGGCATATTCTCCTTAAGCTTGACAGCTTGTTTACAATGGGTTTCTGCCGCAGGGCAGTTTCCAAGTGCTGTCAGCCCCTGAATTACTTCGCTTGCCAGGGCTGCTCAGTACAGCATTTATCTGGGAAGGGATTGTTTCATACTCAGTAACCTATTGCTGAGCTCACTCCACAGCGCGTCCCTCACTCTAGTCAAAGGGGGAAATGCCTTCCTTTCCCTCCTGCCACTCTGCATTTTATAGAGGGCTGGGGGGCAGGGAAGCCGCAGAAAGACAGCCTGGGCCAGCACAGTGCTGAGCGCTTGGACACACGTTCTCAGAAGTTATCCCGACTCCTGACCTGGGGTTATCAACGATCTCCAGTTTTGGATAAGAGGAAGGATGAGTAAAAACGGTAAGCATCCTGTTTGACGTTACAGAGCTATCAGGATGTGCCATTTTGGGTTTACCCACAGGCCCTCTGGATTCTAGATACACGCAGCACTGTGACTACACAGCACTGCCCCTCGGAAACATTTCTGGAATGAAGTTTTATGTTCCTATAACAGCGTAGGCCAGGTGCATCTCCCACCTACATCTTCCTTTCACCTGGGATGGGAGATGAAACAGTCTCATTTTTTTCTAGCCAGTCTGTTTTTTTCTCTTCTCCCTTTCTTCCTTTCCCTGCTGCTTTATTACTTGCTAAGTAAATGTGCATTCTTCAAAGCAGGTTTTGAAAAAGACCTTAAATTAGTTCCAAAAGCCCAGCACGGAGGTCTCACCTTTATCCGTCTTTCATCATTTGAACTCTTCTAAGAAAAGTCCCAGACTAGGAAATGTCTAAATATGGTAAAAACCTAGACTTGATTCTTCTCCAAAGTGCTTTCTTGTGTGCCTCCCACTTCACTCCCATAACCCCGGGGAGGACGGCCATCCCAGCGCCACCACTTCAGACAGGAGACTGCTGCTCAGTGACGTGTCTGGAATGAAGTTTTATGTTCCTATAACAGCGTAGGCCAGGTGCATCTCCCACCTACATCTTCCTTTCACCTGGGATGGGAGATGAAACAGTCTCATTTTTTTCTAGCCAGTCTGTTTTTTTCTCTTCTCCCTTTCTTCCTTTCCCTGCTGCTTTATTACTTGCTAAGTAAATGTGCATTCTTCAAAGCAGGTTTTGAAAAAGACCTTAAATTAGTTCCAAAAGCCCAGCACGGAGGTCTCACCTTTATCCGTCTTTCATCATTTGAACTCTTCTAAGAAAAGTCCCAGACTAGGAAATGTCTAAATATGGTAAAAACCTAGACTTGATTCTTCTCCAAAGTGCTTTCTTGTGTGCCTCCCACTTCACTCCCATAACCCCGGGGAGGACGGCCATCCCAGCGCCACCACTTCAGACAGGAGACTGCTGCTCAGTGACGTGAGGTGTGTCTCCCCAGGGGGCAGTGGACAGAGAATAAATGAAATTACACTTTTTTTTTTTTTTTGGGGTATCAGGGATTGAACTCAGGACCTTGTGTCTTCCAGGCAGGCGCTATGCCACTGAGCTAACTTCCCGGCCCTGGAGTCACACTATTTAATTTTTTATTTCTAACCCTCCTGTCATCAGTAGAAGCTTCTGGATCAGCTTCATCGACTGATGCACAGGGAGCCAGGACACACTTTGGAAGGACAGACTTTTAAAGGAGCCCATGATAGTTTCCTCTGGGGCTTCCTTAGCCCGGAACAGAATGTCAACCAGAAGGCGGAGATGAGGGCTTTGCCCTCGAACAGTGCCAGTTTACCAGAGCTCAAGCCAAGCCTCTTCCCGAGACTCAGAGGTGTCCCTCACTGTCCGAACACTCCCGGGGCGGAGCCCGTGACGGGTAAGAGAGCGATGAACAGGAGTGGCAGCTGACGGAGCTGAGCTGGGGAGACAAAGGGAGGGAGCGTGCGGCCGGGAGGCAGCTCCCACGCGGGGACGGAGCGGTGCGCATGAAACAGGAAAAGCCTACTGAATAACAGTGCAGGGTGCTCTGGCACAGGAGAGCAGGGCCAGGGAGCAGGGCCCGACCTCCGGACATGCCCTGGAAGAAGGTGCCGTCCTCTGCAGCTCCCACAGGGAGGTGCAGAGGACGGCACAGTCACTCTGTGGGGCTGCCAGGAGGGGCCGAGCCATCAGCTTACTGCATGACGTTAAAAGAATGAAAAGAAGAGAGCGATGTTTAAAAATTCCTCCTCATACAGAGCAGCAACACTTATCAGGGAATGGCTTTTCTTTGGTGGCAGCTCCTCGCCTAGATAAAGCAGTGCTTTTATGGGCAGCAGAGTCAATATCCCAACACACAGAATAATCACCAGGCAAAGTGCAGCTCCACATCCAACAAAGACTTTCGGCTGTGTCAGGACGTAAGAAGAAAATAACCGGCAGGAAGGATTCATGAGCTGTGCAGTCAGCGGAGGCGGCAGCAGGGGCCAAGAGCATTATTCATGATGTGTACAATCCCAGCAAAAGTGAGAGACACAAACAAGAGAAAGCGAGCGCCGCGCCTCGTAACAGATGGGGGCTCCGCGCTGCTGCAGGACGCGTCCAGGTGAGCCTCAGTGACAGGCGCGCGGAGGTTGAGCTTTTTCTGTACTGCTCTGTCCTTGAAGTGCAGCCTCCTTCTGTCCCCCGTCTCTCTGTCTGTCTCGCTGCCCTCCCCCACCCGCAACCATGCCAGTGTCTGCAGGCAGGTGAGGTGTGCTGCCAACAGAGGGGGCTGTGCCAGCCACGAGCGCGCCAGGCCAGCTGGCCCGCACCCTGGGCCTCAGGCCGTACTTACTAGTGTCCAAAAGAGGTAAATGGTGAAGAGTGCCACAGTGAGTGCGATCAGTCCGACGGCTTCGAGCCGACTACTAAAGTGCAGGTGGTCCACGGCGCCCCGCAGGCACAGCCAGCCCGAGATGGTGGCCAGGGGGGTTATAAACAAGAAACACACCATGTCTCCAAACAGAGTCCGCTTCTCATGCTGGGGGCCGGGGTTTCTGAGCCACTGCCAGAGAATGGGAGACAGAGAAAAGCAAAGGAGAAAGTTAAAGGCCAGCGTGGGGTAGAGACACACTGCTCTGAAGTCTGCTTTCAGAATCCGGGAAGAGGCGCTTCTCACCTGTGCTGAGAACGGGAAGAACAAAGGACACCCCCTTGCCCTCACCCCTGAAGAATAAGAATTACGCCAGTGATAACAACGACAGCCTTCAAAACCTTGCAGATGGCAGACCGAATCACCACGATCCCTGTGTGGAAGGTAGAGAGGACGTTACTGTTGGGAGGTTACAAGTGTCTCGGAGGGCGGGCCGGGTGGTGCGGAGGGAGGTGCCGTGGACCAGTAAGAGACGGGACCGAGGGGCCAGTCTGCAGGTCACCGGGAAGGGAGCTAGGGGAACCACGCCAGACTCCTTCTGCCTCCTTACTCCAGTGTGACTGCTTTATCTCACACACACTCCTGCCATGAAGTGCTGCCTCGCCAGAGGATGGAGAAACAAGGTGACTGTGGATCTTGGGCTTGAACCCACCTAATCACGAACCAGAAAGGGCTCCCTTGAGTCAGCCGATCACCACAGATATTCTGTCGTAGTGATGTGAAGTGACTACCGCAGAAGGTACCGGCTCACACGGGAGAAGTCCGGCCCAAGCCTTCCAGGGTCTTGACATTGGAATGCGTGCAGAGGATTCGCTCAGCAGCCTGGGTTGCTGCACATTCCCAAGAAACGTGTGTTTGCAGGACTGGCTCTGAATTGGCTCCTGAGAAATGAGCTCGGCGTCCTTGAGGCATTCTGTTTGATAAGAGCATTTCGCATACCTGAAGCCCAGGGCCACGCGATACCAATGTGGTCAGACAGTTTGTGCCAACAATGTGATTTAGGTTGTACAGCTATTTTTCCCTGTAGGTCCCGAGTCTGAGTAGCTCAGGTCAGTTACACAGGTACACGCTGCATCCCTAGTGACCTAGCCCAACAAGAATACTGGTAACAAGCTCAGGTGATCTCCTTGGTAGACGAGACTCGGCATGTACTGTCACAAACTGTTGCCTGAAGAATCAGGCACACCCATGTGACTCTCCTGACAAAGGACATCCGGAAGCTTGTTCCTAGTTTCTCCCAGATTTACACCAGGCACCTTTTCCCTTTTCTGCTTTTAAACTGTATCCTTTTGCTGCAATAAACTGTAAGCATGAGTACGATGGCTCTGCTAAGTCCTATGAGTCCTTCTACTGAATCTCTGAGCCTAAGCATGGTCTTGGGGACCCTCAGCACAGACTGAGACACATCAGACTATGAATTCTGTAATACTCCTTTTAGGACCTTCTCATTTAGGACCATTTCTGACATCTTGTTTTATTGTTTGAGACAGGGTCTCACTATGTAGTTGAGATGGACCTGGAACTCACTAGGTAGCCCAGGCTGGTCTCAACTCAGCGATCCTCCTGCCTCAGCCTCCTGAGTGTTGGGATTACAGGTGTGCGCCACCACGCCTGGCCCCACCATTTCTGACATCTTGATAGTGCTACCATCTCACTGAATCAACCTCAGGGGAAATTTCATTCTTGTTTAAAGACTAGAGGTGAGAATCCCTACAGAAAGGAAACAGAGATGCCTTCCCACTCGGGTAACTGCTAAATACCTGCTGAGATGCCCCCACACAGTTCAGTTCAGTCCAGGGCTCACACACTGCCGTCAGTGCACACTGTAAGGAGGCCTGGCAGCTTTTCTTCAGAGTGACACTAAAACACAACCCCAGACAAGTGACATTCGCATCTCACTGTCTCAGGTATGACGACAGAGGCTGAGGAGCCCAAGGAATAAGGTCAGACACGAAAGGTGGGGTGGAATGGGTGACATCGGTAACTCTTTTCCTTCTTGTCCCCACCAGCCCACAGGCTAGCACTGTCTGCTGGTGCCATGTCCAGCAGTGCTGTTTGTGGGCACCAAGCAGGAGCCCTGCAGGCTGCGGAGGAGACTCCGTGGGCGGCTGACTGGAGAGGGAAGGAAAGGCTGGCCTTGTTCAAGGGTGTGAAGAAGAAGCAGCGGAGGGCTGAGGGGCGGAGGGCTGAGGGGGCCGGCGAGCGGAGGAGGGGCTGACAGAGCCTCTGAAGTGAGCCAGAGGCCAGAGGCGGAGGCGCAGCAGTGTGTGGGGAGCTGTCCCACTCCAGCAGCTGCCCGGCGCCCACTGCACCGCTTCCAGGGATGGGCCCCCTCAGAATGGCTGAAAGAAGTCAGTTTCGCCTTAAAACTGGATGTAAACAGGTAACACACAGGTAAGAGGAAGTTGGCTTGTTTCTGAATATAAATATGCTATAAATATTTAATACAAATACCAAGGGATGAAATGTGAATATAGTAACCCTGCCACATGTTGTGGTGCCACCGCAGACATTTCAGCAGTTTCAAAGAAAACAAAAGAGCTCTCATTAATTAACACTCTCTCGCCTAACTGCTGTCCTGGGAGTACGGCACTGGAGCGGGGAGTAGAAACAGGGTTGTTTTATCCAGTTTTACAGAGGCTCAGTAAGGTTAAATGACCACTCCAGCAATTCAGACGCCAAGCTGGGAAGAGGGACAGGGTCTCCTTTCTTATTCAGAAGTGGTATTAGTGAAATATCTGAAAATTAGAATTGCAATGCATTCAGACATACATACTCCTAAAATGACGGGGCTCAAATTGTAGCAGTGTGATTCCCCGCATGGTCCGAATTATTCCTGAAAGCAGACGGGAAGCACAGTGCATTGCCTTTGTATCTCCATGTATGGGAACACAGTAGGAGCTCCCTGAACACGCACGTATCACGTATGTGTATAGTCACACTAACCCAAAAGCTTGGGAACTGGGGATCGAACTCAGGACCTTGCGCTTTCAAAGCAGAGGCGGAACCACTGAGCTAAATTCCCGGCCCTGGGAACTCTTGATCTATTTTTATTAAAACTAATGAAGCACTGTGCTTATTCATGTAGCCCTTAGCATTGCCAAGGCAGTGATTCAGGTATGAAAAGAGGCGACTGGGAGTCATTACTCACTGCGATGTAAAGTGAATGGGAAGGGGCTGAGGCTGTGGCTTCGAGGTCCAGTGTGTGCCTAGAGTGTCAGAGCCCCTAGGTGCAAACCCTGACTCCCAGTAAATAGACAAGTGAGACGAGGAGAAACACAGCTGCAAGAGACAAACCAGAGATCACAACTGTGGGTTTCCCGCGTCCATTTGTCTAACTGTTCTTTGATTTTCTGTATTCCTGAAAGATTTCTAGGTCTCTTTCTGTGTCAGGGCTTAGCCGAGGACTGGAGTTTGACCTTATTACCATCTCATTTGGACCTTATTCCTTTTGGCAGGAGATCAAAGTGCTCAGCGTACTGTTTTGTTTGTTGCGGATCATATTTAGGTACGATGTTTTCAGGTACAGGGATGTAAAATCGGTTTCTTCTTCAGAACCTGAGTGTTCCTCATCTTACACAAATGCAAGCCTGTGAGCAAGTGGTAAGATTAAATGCTGAGGAAAAGCAGTGCCTGAGCCATAATAAGGTCCCCGTCAAAGTACCTAAATCCACTAATGCAGGGTATTTACTAAGCAGCTTATAACAGAGAAAACTCGATTACAGTTTACATTTCCAACAGTATGGAATTGTCAAAATAAATTATGGAATTTACTTAGAATATCACATAGTAATTTCAAGTGAGGATGTACATTTTGTCTTTATTGATATGAAATATTCCTGAGCTGAAAAGATTCTACTGGACAGAAGGTACACTTCGCCTGTGTGTGGAGTTACGTGTCTACACAGACAGAGGCATTTACATTTACACAGGCACAGTGATTATTTATCCAGACAAAGACCAGAGGGAGCCACGGCAAACTGGTTATTCTTGGTGATGGGATTACGAGTGACCCTCAATATTTTTGTTACTCATCTTCTTATTTTTTGGAAATCAACATGATTACTTGTGTAACTACAGACATGTGACTTGTATACAAAACATGGAGAGAGACAGACAGACGTGGGTAATAGGGGCGGCAGGTGTGTTTTGCTAGTGCACAGCAAGTGCAAGCAGTAAAAAAACGGAACCGTTATGTAACGACGGCTGGGTGGGCCCGGTGCTGGGACCTGGACTCGCTATGCAGGGCCTCACTGAGCCTTTTGGACCAGGTGCTAATAGGACTCGACTTCACAGATGTGGGTGCTGTGGAGCAGGGGTTCTAGTAACTCAGTGGGGATTCAAATCAGCCTCGCCTTTAGTTTTTTGCTTTCCATATTAACATTTTCTTTTTGAACCAAATGGCGCACACACACACGTGTGTGTGTGTGTGTGTGTGTGTGTGTGTGTGTACTTGCATTGTGATAGGTTTTTATAAAGTTTCAGTTAGATGGGACAAGGGAAGTCTGCTCTTTTATTGAGTGCATTAAGTGACTAAATGGTTGCTAACCAGAATGTTATCATGGCAGTTTTATAAAATTTTCTTTTTCTTAGGCTGCTACACTGTTGGTAATTCTCTCTCTCTCCCTCCCTCTCTCTCTCTCTCTCTCTCTCTCTCTCTCTCTCTCTCTCTCCCTCTCCCTTTTTTGGTACCAGGGATTGAACTCAGGACTTTGTGCTTACAAGTCAGGCGGTGGCACCACTGAGCTAAATCCCCAGCCCTGTTGGTAATTCTTTTACCAAACCACAATGAGGTTTGATTTAGGGTGTTTAATCTAAGCTATATTGTTATTTGTTTTGGCCTAGTTCATAACAGCCAAAAGGCTGATCTCCTCCATTACTGCTCCATTACATTTCTGGTTCTTCTACGTCGTCTTCTGCTCACTGATCAGTTTTACTTGCCCTGCACGGTAGTAATATCTACTCTGCACTCATACCTCATCTCCTAAGCATTCGCTCAAAAAAGGGCAGGTGGAGGGAAGAAGCCTTGTTTCTGTGTCTGTCTTCGTGCTGGACCTCACCTGTATACTAGTGGTGTCCAGTACAGCTCTGACACACAGTAGGTGCTTAATGCTGAACGGATGACAACAGCT